AGAATGCATGGTATTGGTAAAATTGGAAGTATTGATGTAAAAGAAACAAAAAAAAATTACACAAAGACACAAAAGGAAATTTGCTGAACTTAAAAGAACTCTGCCTGCTAATAATCTATTATTGCAACATTCATGCTTAAACCATTTAGACGAAACACTAAAGCAAAAAGAGTTCGATAGTGATGCCTCCCTAGCCATTGAAAAAGTCATCGATGAAGAATTAGAAGAATTTAAGCCATCATGGCAGATGCTAAACCATCATGGCAGATGTGCATTACAATGAAAAATACTGCTCTGACTAGCGATTGCTATGGATTATTAGACAGAGCAACTGCTTCTTCAAAAAAGTTTTAGTTAAAAAGATAATTTTTTAATAATAATAAAAAGGTTTCTTTTTTACCATACCAATACATTTTTCTACTTAAGTTGTCTCTAGATATTTTTTAAAGAATTTATTCAATTTCATTTCATTTGTTAGAAAATTATAAAAAGGAAAAATTTCTTTGATTATTCAAGCGCAATGCGCTAGCTCCAGACATAAAACAATAATATTATTTTTTTTGCATTATCCTTAGGTACCATAAAAACAAGTTTTTTGCGGTTTAGTGAGTCAAAAATCAGGAAATTTTTTTTTTCTGCCCACTGTGATATATATATATATATATATATGTATATTTAAATATATATATATATATATATATATATATATATAAATATATATATATATATACTTAAATATATACATACATATACATATATATATATATATATATATATATATATATATATATATATATATATATATATATATATATATATATATATATATATATATTAATATATATTAATATTAATATATATACTAGCAGTAAGCAACCCGTAATACGCGTTGTTAGTAAATAAAATTAAAAAAAAAAACGCGTATAGAAAAGCCTAGAAAATGATGTAATTCGACTAATTATATTAAATTAGCGTATTAATATTATCATATATATATATATATATATATATATATATATATATATATATATATATATATATATATATATATATATATATATATATATATATCAACATTTTACTTCCAACAAGGCTGCAAGCAACCACTATTAGAATTGGAAGTTACTGGAAGAGAAAAGATGAAGTTTATAGAGCAAGATAATGATTGACAGATGACTTAAAATATTGGAAATTATATGAATCAAGAAAACAAGACCAAGGTTGCAAATTCCAAAGAACTGATGTTCGGCAAAAAAAAACTAGATGAAAAAAAATGGTCATGCCATACTTTGGCATGGTCACAGTAAAAGGATGTGACATGACTGGATCTTTAGAGCAGTACCCATTATAGTATTTAGTGAAAAAAGAAAGAGAAGCAACATTACAACGATATGATAATGATTGGAGGTTGGCTGCAAGAGCAGATCCAACTATGCTTACAATGCATTTTTGCACTTTGTCAAAGAGAGAAAGAGCATCATTGGAAGATCTGCCCCAGATATGGCAACAATATTCCATGCAAGGACAGATTTGAGATTTATAGAGATAAAGAATAGAATGCGGAGTAAGAAAGTGTCAAGCACAAAAAAAAGATGCAATCTTAGCAGATACTAATTGTGGAATGGATTTGATATATGGTTTCCAAGAATGATCGGAAATAAGAGTTAATTCTAGAAGATGAAGAGTAGATGACTCGTCAAGTACATCACCGTTCATAAATATAGGAAGATCTAAATTATTGCGGCAACGATTGGCTGAAAAAAATTGGGTTTTATCTGAATTAAAGTTCACCAGCCATTGTGAGCCCCATGCTGTACCAGAAGTGAAATCTTTTTCAAGCTCAAATGCCCCCTCCAAGCAATCAGAGAGAGTTGGCTCCTAATCAAGACAAGAATAAAAGATAGTATCATCAGCGAACAAAGGCACCTTAGATGTGAGAATATCTGGAGGAATGTTAATGTAAATTAAAAAGAGTATAGGACTGTATAAAACTTTTTCAATAATCTTCAATATGTTACCTGAGACACGATAAGAACAAAGCTTATGGAGAAGACCAGTATGCCAAACTTTATCAAAAGTTTTAGCACTATACACACACACACACACACACACACTCACACACACACACATATATATATATATATATATATATATATATATATATATGTATATATATATATATATATATATATATATATATATATATATATATATATATATATATATATATATATATATATATATATATATTAGAGTGTGACATCCGTCCCCTATATTCTAAAAAGATTTGTTTATATTCTTAAAACCTTTTATTGGTTCTCACAAGCATCTTTATGAAATTTTTTCAAATTTCTATTGGATTTAGGGGAAGCACCAGACCCTTGAACACTTACCAGGTCCCTGGTAAGTGTTCAAGGGTCTGGTGATTTTATATAAAAAAAAGTTTTTCAAAAGTGTCATGTTGGGTCTGAAAAGAAGTGAAATTATATAAAAATTTTAAAAATAACAATCATAACAAAATTATTATTTAAACTACATATATATATATATATATATATATATATATATATATATATATATATATATATATATATATATATATATATATATATATATATATATATTGTTAAAAAATATTATTTTGTGCTGTGTAGTGTAACATTTATTACTATAAAATATTTTCATTTATAAAACAATATTCATAAGGCTACAAGAATAAAGAAGTCACAGTATAAAACATGTTACAGTATTTTGAATAGGCTCTTTCAGAACAATCTCTATTCTTTAGAGCATTAAAGAAACAAAAAACTCACACCTTTCTTAGTATTACCTACCTAATTTTAATCTACTTTAAATTTTATCTAGGAGTTTTTCAATAGGAACTAATTTAGGTGAACTACCCAGCTAAATGAAAAGAATAATTGCGTTATTTAGTTAGATAATTGCAAATCGATTTTTTTCGATTACGATAAGCTGCTAACTAATTGAAATGCAATTTTTTTTTATTTACGAGCACAAAAAATTGCAGTGATAACAATAAAAAAAAAATCTAACAATTGCGTATTGTTTTTAACAAATTGAATTTCATTATAGCAAATTGGAATAACTCTTCCCATTAACTAAATTAACTGCATTACAGCAGACTAATTGCTATTATAAAATCTATTTGCCATAAATCCGACAAATTGCAACAAACCGCAAAAAAAGCGGAAACTTTTTTAAAACAATTGCTGATGCAATAAATTGCGAAGTGATTTTTATAGAGCAAATCACCGGGCGATATATTGCGCATCAATTTTTATTTAAAAATTGCTTGCGTTTCAATGCGATTTTTTATTGATTTTAATTGCATAATCAGAAAAAATTGCTTTTGTGCTAACCACCAATGCGGTAATGCCAATGCCTAATATAGTTATATATAATAACAAAAATATATTGATATAAAGTATAACTTTGTTAAATTTTATATCATTGTCTTATAATATTTACATGTTTACACATTTATTTGGGGGACAGGAACAGTGTCAAATATATTAAAAAGGGCTTATGTTGCAAAAAGAAAAGAATAGTGTTGCAAATGAATTTAATAAATAGTGTCGAAAACAAAACAAAAAATAATGTTGCAAATGAATTTAATAAACAGTGTTAAAAACAAAAAAAAAAGACTAGTGTTGCAAATAAATTATTGAATAGCATTGCAAATAGTAAAAGGAACTGTGTTAAAAATAGTAAAAACAGAATAGTGTCGTAAATAAGTGATATATATATATATACACACACACATACATATATATGTTTGTGTGTGTGTATTCACATATATTCATATATTACCTATTTACGACACTATTCTGTTTTTACTATTTTTAGAGAGATTAAAATCAAATGAAATAATTAAGAGGCTTCAATGATTTTTTTACAGGAAAAAGACTTTCTTTTTAAGTTTTAGAGAAGTTCGAGCAGTATTCAAAAATGTAAGAATCAAATTAAAATATTTGCAGCTTTAAATTGTATTTAATTAAAAAAAAAAATTACCCTTATACTTGAGAAAGTCAATTGGTAACTAAGAGAATACTTATTCAAAAAAATCAATCAATGATATAATTTAAAAAACAACCAACAATAAGAATTAAAAAAACAACTAATAAGAATTAACAATTAACAAAAAAAAAAAAAAAAAAAAAAAAAAAAAAAAAAAAAAAAGATTATATTTTGTGATGATGTTGATTGGTTGAGATGTTCTGAAGTGCGAGTTGCTTTAAAATTTGACAAAAAACATTAACTATTTTGAATTATTGAAGTTTTGCAAAAAATGTTGTTGGAGTCACTGTTATAACTTGAATTATTTGCTGCTCATCAGCAAATAAATTTTTGTCTAGCTTGCTTTGTTGCTTTTTTGCTGTCAGCATTTAACAATTTCTTCAGTAGTTCGAGTTTATTAAGACTCTTTGAATTGAGTCTTTAACATAATTTCTATTAAGTAGTTAATTTTATTGCAATACTAAACAATAATTTATAATAAACTGCATTTTCAGTTGTACCTGAGTTTATTTTATTAAAATAAAACAACAATTTTTAAATAAAATTGGTGAAAAAATCAACTGAAATTATAACTCAGTAAGTACATTTAACTGAAACATTAAAAAAAAGTGTTTTAATAATCCAGGTCATATATATTGTATGTATAATGACATAATGTAGGTAAAAAAATCTAGTCTCATGAAAGTTTGTAACACATAATTTTTTGTCAAACCATGTTGAAGCCGCTTTTAAGGAAGAATAAAAATTTCCTTGTCACTGTTTTTTTCTAGACAATTTTATTCTAAAATATTTTTCCATGCAAAATAGATTTATGCCATATCCAATAATTTTGATCACTAGACACAGTTTTTTTATTATCAAAACCTGTCTTTATATTTAAACAATAAATTATTGGTTTTTTTTTGAGAATAAAAAAAAGTAAAATAACAGAAAAAATTAAAAAATTAAAAATAAAAACAAACCTCATTACTCTGTTTGTAGTGACAACAAAATCTGGTTTACCATTTGAATAATGAACTTTAGCATAACCAGACACCCAAGTCCATTTTCCTTCTTTGTTCAAAAAGCGAAATGCAGCAATAGTTGACCACCCATAAACCGCAACTTAACAAAATATTTCTCATATTAACTTAAAAACGTATATTTATAAATATATAATTCATAAATTGTAGCAAGTGACCGAGGTCAGGTTTGATAAAATATAGCAGGGGCCAGGTTTGTGACCGAGGCATTATTATGATCAACATGATCATGTTGATCATAATGATGATTAACATAACATCATTATGATCAAAATGATCATCATAATTATCATTATTATTATCATCACCATCATGATCATTATTATCAACAGCATAAAAGAGGAAGGCTAAAGCCTGATGATGATGATGATGATGATGATGATGATCATCATCATCATGCTTTATCTTTCCGCTTGTATGCTGTTTCTCTAATATAAACAAACTAGAAGATTTTCTTTTCCTATCTAAGAAAAGAAAATGCTCTAACTTCTACCACTATTATTTTCTACTGAAGCTGCTACTTCACTACATGCTAATCCTAAATCATTTATTTTTTTCTAACAAAGATTATCTGATACAAAGTTTTTTCTGTCTAAGATTATGCCTCCTTTTCTTGTCTTGCTAGAGTCACACTAGTGCTTCCAATACCGATACCATTTTTCAATACCGGTATATCGGTATTAAATAATTACAATACCGATAATACCGGTATAATACCGGTATTAAACTTTATTTTTAAATTTATCATAATCTAAATAAAATTTCAAGTTAATAGTAAAAATTTTATTGATTCAATCAGCTTATTTATTTTATATCAAAACTACTGACTTATTCATTTTTCGCTTTTTTCTGCTTTGTAAAATGAGCCCGTAAAAAACATTGGGCGTTCAGAACATCATCTTCAAAAGATCATCTAATTTTGTTGGCTTCACAGTTTTCAAGTAATGGTAGGAATTTTGCAACGTTGATGTCCCTTGTGCAAAAAATGTTGTATGCTGGAAAAAGAGTATGTTGCTCATTGAATTGTTGCACCAACATAACTTTACAGCTAAATCGATTTCTCAAAGGTTATCTATCATGAAAATGTTGTATCACACAACAGAGTTGCATGATTTTGGCACAATGTTTCCACAGCCAGTTTTACTGGCGCAAGATATAAGTTAACAGCTAATATTGCATCGGACTCATTATTAGTTACCTCAACTTTGGACTCAAGGGCAAAAAGTGACTCGTGAATGCATTTTTTTAATTATACAAAACGTTCGAGTACTGTGTGCAAGCTAATCCAGCTAGTTTTGGATCCAAGTATTAGTGGAATATCTTTATCAAATTTTTCTAACGTGCATTTTTGAGTTTTGATCATTTTTTGTCGGAGAACGGTGAAATAAAAATTTCACAACGGTGCGCACCTTTTTGATTAACGGCTGCAAATCATCAGTCAGTTCAATAGAGTCATTCTAATCACTCATTACAACTTGAAACCCGCCGGAAAAGTCTTCATCATTATTGGTTATGTTTGTGTCATCAGTATTTCCTCGTCACTTTCTCTGTTATTGCATATTACTTTCAAGTTTTTTTTGCAGAAATTGACAATTTTTTTGTACAAAATATCTTGAATACCTAGTTGAATCCCATGCCTAATGCACAACTGTTGATCACAGTTACTTAAATGCCCCACTTTTTACATTACCGAAACTTTTCATATTTACGTTAGTGCAAAATTCAAACATGCGTTCTACATTAAAGTGAGTGACGTAATAATAATATTTTAAATTGGTGCTTCATTATTTAATGAAAACACGAAAGTAAATGGAATACTTAAAACTTCCAGTCACGATCAAACAACGCTTCCGGCAAGAAAAAGATAGCTAGATGACAAAAGACGTGTTTAAATCGTCTAAAACAAGTATTCTACGTATTTTATACGTCTTAAACGCTAGCTGTTCGCTGGCTAGTTGAACACTCATTTCCTACCAAACCTATTGGGAAATGAGCTGACAACTAGATATTAAGTATAAAGTACGTAGAATACTTGTTTTAGACAATTTAAACATGTCTTTTCTCATCTAGCTATCCTTTTCCTACCGGAAGCGTTGTTGAAAGTTTTAAGTATTTCATTTACTTTAGTGTTTCATGTAAAGAGGGCGATAGCACCTGCTATATCATAAGCCCTCTACATATATTTTTAATACCGGCATTGAGCCAAACCAATACCGGTATTTCGGTACTTAAAAATGCCCGGTAATACCGGTATTCCGGTACCGGTACTACTGGTATTGGAAGCACTAAGTCACACCACACATCTATCTGATGATCTTCACTTTAGGCAAATACTACACCATATAAATACTAAAGTTTATATAAAAATGAAAGGATATTGTATGCCAGTATCTATGCATAAAGTGCATCAAGGAAGCTTTTATTCTTTCTGGTATAAATGTTTGAAAGCATTTCTAAATCTTGTATCTTATCTCAAATGTTAGGTTCTAAAGACTTTTGGTTAGTCTTCAACAATGTCATTAACTAAAGTCTAACATTTAATCTCTAATTTATGGGTCTGATCTTTTTACTTCTCCCCAGAATAAAGCAGAGTTATTTGCAAAGAAATCTTACATTAATTTGATTCTTGAATATAATGACCATAATCTTCCTGACAGTTAAACATTAACCCATTGTTAAACATCGAAATCACTCTGGCTTTCAATGCTAAAGTTAATTTTCAATTAAACACTTTACAGTTTGTGCAAGATTTCCATCATAGTCTTAAAAAAGTGTTCTTCAGAACTCTCTTCAATTTTTGCAATGCTAAAGTTAATATTCAATGCTAAAGTTTATTTTCAATTAAACACTTTACAGTTTGTGCTCCAGGCAAGATTTCCATCATAGTCTTAAAAAAGTAGGATTTGAGGTTATTTAATTATTTCTTTCTAGCTGCAGTAGTAAAGTTATTCTTGAAGGCCTACCCTCTTCTTTATTTTAAGTAGCTTTAAGGGTACCACAAGGTTCTATCTTTGCTCCTGTATTGTTTCTTATCTACAATATCGATCTTCATGAAATCTAAAGTGGCTCCATTTTCTGATGACTCAACTTTTTACTCTTGTCTTGAATAAAAATCTTCACTTTTTAATTGCTTAGAACAAGCAGCCGATTTTAAATCTGATTTCTCTTCTGTAACAGCCGAAGCCGAAGCCGAAGCCTGAGGCATGTAGTGGCTCAGGGATTGAAATTTAGGACTTAAAATCCTCAATTTTTGTTAGCCAACAAAACACAATTAATTACTGCAAAAAAATATTGCAATTTAGTTAGCATTTTAACGAATATATTGATGAAAATAACAACCCTCTTACTCTCAGACAAAGTCTAAAAACACATTTTAAATGTAATTAGACCTGGTTTATCTGCCAAGTTTGAACCTATCTCCCATTGTTATAAGGCTGCATTTCTCTCCTTTTTCTACAAATACCATTATGGTCAATGCTCAAACGAGCTATTATCTCTATTACAATAAACCAAAACTCATTCTTGCTCGGCTTTTTTTTTAGCAAGTTGCATCCTTTTACTATATCTGTTCCTTTATGCTAAAAATATTTTATTAATCCAGTTTTTTTCCTTGAACATCAAAAAAACTCTTACCTATCTTTATGTTTTACTTTTTTTATACAACTTATAACTTTCTAAGTCTTCGGTTATACGTTTCCTAGTATTTTAACTTTCTCTATTTTAAATAACTCATCATTTTAAAGTAACTCATAACTTAATAGTGGTTGCTTGCAGTCTTGTTGGAAATAAATTAGAGTTTAAAAATATGTAAATGTATGCCAGTATCTAATAAATAGTAAATGTAAGCATAAAATTATAATATATTATGTATTATAAATTTTTTTCTAGCCATAACTATCAAGCCCTGCTAAATCTTATAATTTTGTCTGGGCCAGGGCTGGGTTTGTAGAAAGTGTCCAGGGTCCCGGTCACTTACTAACAGGAATGCGGAGTCCCTAAGAAAGAACCCGGATTTGAAAATCACAAAAAGATTACTTCTTTCTAGTTTTTGGTATCCAGGAGCTTTAAAATATAAAAAAGCTTAAGGGCTACCAATGGGAAATAAGGTCAGAAGAACAACCAATTTTTGAACAGGGAGTTCTTAGGTATGATGGCGTCAAGGACTACGGGACTCCAGGACTCCAGACTTAAAATTAATAAGTTCCAAGTCATTAAATGTCATAAATTTATTTCTTATAGTAGATCATTAATCAACCAACATGTATAGAGCTTCTGGACACCAGAGATCATAAAAAAATAATAAGTTATAATGCTGGAGTCTTTTTAGGACTCTGCATTCCTGCTTACTAATAAATTGTATTTTTTTTATTTTTCTTTTCTTATTAGGAATTAAAAAAATAAAAATTTACTTTCAGTGTGCTTGCACTTCAAATGCTGGATATCAAATCGATGAACTAAAAGGTAACTTGACTGCCCAACTAAATCATTTAGATCATATCCAAGTAATTCCTTTCCTCTAAATAAAAAAGATAATAATTTAATAACATGACCACCCTTTAGACGAAGTATTAATGTAAATAATCTAATGTTGTATAATCAGGGCTCAATTTAATTTTGCAACTTTTTGAAAAAAATGCTTATACAACTTAAAAATTTTTTTCCTTTTTATTAACCATAGATGAGTATTTGACTTTATAAAAATCCCAGAAATTTTTTTTATGAAAATCCCAGAAAATCTTGGAAAATTATTTTATTAAAAATTGATCGTATTAATAGACTATAAAAACTTTTGTAAAATTTAAAAAAAACGGAATTTAGATTATTTAACTTTTTACAAAAAGGAATTTCTAATATTTGAAAAAGATAATTTGAATGAATTAAAAAGCAAAAAAAAAAAAAAAAAAAAAAATTGTTACAAAAATTTATCTCATGAAAATTTTAATGATAGAAAACTTATTTGTTTAAATGCAATAGTTGTCGTATTTAAAATTTTATGTAAAAATATATCTTTTTGTTTTTCAACTTAATAACAAAAAACATCCAGAAATTTCTGGAAAATTAAAAGAGTTTTAAGTGAATTTCCGGAATTCTGGGAATTTCCAGAAAAAACTCATCTATGATTAATTTAATTTCACTTTTCAATAAGTTAAATAAAATTTGTTCATTTATTAAACAATCAATAGAGGTAATTAGTAAAAGCGTTTTGCGTAACTTTAATAAAACGTTTTAAAAGATAAGTCCGATGTCTGTCCGTTAAATTGAGCCCTGTATAATTAATAAATTAGTTATAATTAATGGGCAGCGTGGCAGAATATACAAATAGATGTGATAGCTTCTAAAACTATTTCTGTTTTAATATATTACCCATTTGAGACAGAATTTATATTAAATTATGTCCTGCAGTAATAACATCAGTAACACATAGTAATAACATTTTAATTAAATAGGCAACTTAATGTAAATGTTACTGATAGCTTTTGCTATAACTTTTATAAATTATTCACTGAAATTTGTAATACTATAATTTTTTACCCTGGTTTGCAGATTATTTTTCTTGTGATAAAACCACTAGAAAGATATTTAATCTATCTTGCATGGCTCAGATCTTATTAACTGACTCAACAACTCCTAATTTATTTGTGGGTAAGGATAAGCTCTGCTTATTCTTACCCACAAATAAATTAGGAATAAATTAATTAAATATATACACAAATAAATTAAGAATTGTTTTTTTACTTTTACTGTTGTGACCCATTTAACTCCACAATGAAAAGGAAAAAAAAGTGATGATTGTTAAATTTTTAAAATTGTTAGTATTTTATCTCTCTTTTTATAAACTTGATTTAAACGACTTCGCATTAGTTTTTTGTACACTTTCTGATCTTTGTAAATGATTGTATTTGAGTAAACCATTTGAATCTTTTGATTTAAAATTAATATAAACATGGGTTTGGAGTCATAAAAAAAAGAACTAACTCTAACTGCAATTATTAAAATTTTCAGAGTACGACTCCTGATTGGAAGAAAATTGAATTAGCATAAAAGAAAAACAACATTCCGATACCACGATCGATATAACCAGTAAATAGCGCCAATATGGCTATAACAAACTTAATAACAATTATGTGGCGACTATTTAAACAATAGTGTTTTTTTGTTATTGAACGAAATTTTTGTATAAATAGAGTTTTAGTTGTTGTTATTTTTAAGATACAAAAATATAAAGAATATAAGTATATAGTTAATGTAAAAACAGTTAAGATCTTAAAAATATAAGTTCCAATACATATTCGGTATTATTTGTGATCGCCATTGGATCATAATTGGTAGCAGAGGGTAGTTTCTTCAACACGGAAGAATGGTAAAAAGAAAAAATCAAAAATCAAATAACCAAATGGAAGATCAGTTAATCGTTCAAAATGAAGTATCTGCATTGAACAGAAAGAAAATAGTTCTAAAGTCTTCATTTACGCTAACTAAACATCAAATTATTCAGCAAATTGGAGACGATGAACCCACTTGTAAAAATGAGTTACGCGAATTGAGTAATCAATTAACAAAGACTCAAAACGAAGCTCTCGAGATAATGGTTGAATTATCAAAGAAATACAAACTTCTGGAATCAAAAGAAAATGTAGGAAAACTTAATACAGAAATTGAAAAACTAAACGACGAATTTGCAGAAAATATGGAACATTTATATGAATGGATATTGCGCAATGGAAGTTTAAAATCAAAATTAAAACAACAAAGGATGGAAAAAGAACTTAAAATGGAAACAAAAAAGCAATGTTATCAATGGTTAAGAACTCAAAAAAGTAATGAACAGTATGATGAAGATAATAAAGAAGAAAATGGGAATAGCGAAATGGAACCAATCAAATCAACGCATATCATACATAAAATGGAAAATGAAATAATTTTGGATCAAAAAAAATAAATTTGGATCAAAAGACTGCAAAAATTGGACATGATTTATGGAAACAACTCAAACGTGTCTCTATACCAATATTTAATGGTGATAAAAAGAACTATGAAAATTGGAAAGCTTCATTCTACACATGCATTGATCAAGCCCCAGCGACATCTGAGTATAAATTACTTCAGTTACGTCAATATTTATGTGGAGACGCATTAAAAGCAATTGAAGGACTTGGGCATTCGTCATTCGCTTATGAAGCTGCAAAAGAAAGACTTAAAAGAAAATATGGCGGAACAAGGAGAAAAATTCTTATGTATTTGGATGAATTGAACAACTTTAAACCTATGAGGGAAAATAATCCAAAAGACGTTGAAAAGTTTGCGGATTTGTTTGATGTGGCAATAACAAACTTAAAAGAAGCAAGTCCAATAGAAGAACTTGGCGATGGGACATTGTACCATCAATTGCAAAAAAAAGTTCCTGAGATAATGTTAATTAGATACAAACAATAGGTGTATGAAAACAAATTAAACGAAAATGTTAAAACTCTAAAAAAGTTTATTGTTGAAGAAGCAGATTTTCAAATTGCAGCAACGGAAACTCTACATGGTTTAAAAAAACTATTGGTAGCAAAGCACACAAAGGAAATTCTTACTTTGGTAACAGTGATCAAAAAAAGAAAATAAATTGGATACAGAAATGTCCTGTTTGCAAAAACCATCATAAAATATGGGAGTGTCCAACGTTTCAAAATCAAAATATTAAAAAAAGATGGGAGACAGCTAAGAAAAATAAACTCTGCTTTAGATGCTTGAATTCGAACCATTCGTCAAAAGAATGCAGGAACACAAGAATTTGTGGGATTGATGGCTGTACAGATACCCATAATCGTTTGCTTCACAAGAAAAGTCATTAAAAAAAAACAATTTCTGAAGACTACAAAGAAGAAGACACGATATTAGAAAATTCTCATATGTCGAACATCCAATTTCATTCAAATCACGTCATGAACTACATATCTCTTAGAACGGTGCCAGTTATTCTTCGTAATGGATATAAAAAAGTTGTGGTAAACGCATTGCTTGACGATGGAAGTACCAAGACATATTTGAACTCTGATGTAGCGGCTGAGTTGTCACTGCAAGGTAAAACCCAAAAAGTAACTGTAAACATGATAAATGGAATAATTGATTCTTTCGAAATGATGCCGGTAGAATTTCAGTTGGAATCGTTGAATGGAGAAACAAAAATTACAGTGGAAGCTTTTACAGTTAATAATGTAACTGGAAACTTAAAAGCAGTTAATTGGGCAAATATGTCAAAAAGTTGGAAACATCTAAGAAAAATCGAATTCCCAAATATTGGACCAAAACCAAAAATTGACATTCTAATCGGTGTGGATTATGCTGAGCTGCACTGTGCAGAAGATGCAAACAACACCATTAAAAAATTATGGGAAATTGAAGGCGACAAAGAGATGCAATTCAGAAAAACAATGACAAGTCCAGAAGACTCTACCGTCCTTAATACAGTAACTAATTCGCTAAAAACTGAGAACAGAAGATATGAGCTAAAATTACCATGGAAAGGTAATAGACATTTGGACAATAATTATACAATGGCGTTAAACAGATTACAAAATACGGAAAAACAGCTTATGAAAAACAAAAGTCTAGGACAAGAGTACAATAGAATTATTAAGCAGTATCAACAAAAGGAATACTTTGAGAAAATCAATAAAAGGGATCTTGGTGATGGTTGGTACTTACCACATTTTCCAATTCTTCTTCCTGATAAATCAACTACAAAAGTCAGAGTTGTGTTTGTTGGATCTGCAAAATATAATGGTAAATCAATTAATAATGTTATTTATCAAGGTCCAAAACTTCAACAAGACCTTGTCACTGTTTTGCTGAGATTTCGAAAATAACTTTAAAATAAGCTTTAGCTTGTGATATAGCAGAAATGTATTTAAAATTGGAATACATAAAGACGACCAAAGGTACCAACGAATTTTATGGAGAAACCTAGATTCAACTGCCGAGTCTGAGGTATTTCAGTTTAATCGGCTCGTATTTGGAATCAACTCAGCGCCTTTTATGGCTCAATTTGTAAAGCAAGAACACGGAAAAAAGTATGCAAAAAAATTTCCTTTGGCTTCTGAAGCTGTTCTTGAAGCAACTTACATGGACGATACAATAACTTCTGTAGTTGATGAAAAAGTAGGAATTCAATTATACAAGGAACTCACGCTACTATGGGGTTCAGCAGGAATGTTTGCACGAAAGTGGCTTTCAAACTTGGTCGAAGTTCTTAAAATAACACCAGAAAATGATTGTGCAATGAAAACACTTGGAGTTGTCTGGAAAGCAAAACATGATTTATTTAATTTTCATTCTGTAACAACCGAAGAAAATACGGTATATACAAAACGAATTTTGCTTAAAAAAATGGCAACGTTGTTTGATCCATTGGGTTTTTTGGCACCATATATCATTCGAATCAAAATAATTATGCAAAAACTGTGGATTGATGGAACTGAGAGAGATGATGCAGTTCCGGATAGGATTGCAAATAATGTTGATCAATGGTTT